ACAGGTTGTTTCCTTTGGGCTCAGACAGGTGATAAGAAAGCAGCGCATTGTATCCAGAGTCTGCGTCTACAGCCCTGATCTTTGCCACAAAGTATCCCGCTTCAGCAGAATAGGGGATGTTCTCACTGTTAACGGAGCTGTGCTCAGAATATGGCGCGAGAATCGTGGGACTGTTGTCATTTTCATCCAGGATAAAAACGTTGACAGTCACGTTGCTGCTGAGTGGAGGAACACCAGAGTCTGTGGCCTGAACTTTAAAGTGGAACGTTTTTAACTCCTCATAGTTAAAAGACTGCAGGGTGATTAAATCTCCTGTTTCTGAATTGATGCTTACAAATAAATTTACTGGGATACTGTTTGAATCGCCTTCTAGCGAATACGTTACTTTAGCGTTTTCATTTATGTCGGGATCGACTGCATTGATAGTATAGAGCCGAGCACCAACTGGTCTATTTTCTTTTACATAAATATTAATTGCAGGTTCAGCGAAACCAGGCGCATTATCATTGACATCAGAAATATCAACATTAACAACACTGGAGGCGGATAAAGACGGGGTACCTTCATCGTTAGCTATAATTGTGACATTGTAAACAGGCCGCTGCTCTCTATCAAGAGTTCTGTCTACAACTAAAGAGTAATAGTTTTTGTAATTTGAAATCAACTTAAAAGGTGTGGAACCAGCAAGTTTACCGCGAGTCTGACCGTTTTTCCCTCCATCTTTATCAGTCACTGTCACCAAAGCGACAACGCTTCCTATTGCAGTATCTTCTCTGACAGGGTTCATGAGTGACGTCACCACAATTTCTGGGGCATTGTCATTTACATCAACTATCTCAACCAATAGCTTCCCATTTGCTCGTCGAGGTGACGGACCTCTGTCTGTTGCTTGCACATGAATATCATATGCTGACTGTGCTTCATAATCCAAATGACCCTTAACAGTGATTTCACCAGTTTCGGCATTTATAAAAAACAAATCAGCTGGATCGAAGTTTGCACGTTTGACAAAAGTGTAAATTACTCTCCCGTTGTCCCCTTCGTCTAAGTCTGTGGCATTGAGTTGAATTACTAATGATCCGGCTGGAGCATTTTCATTTACACGTGCTTTATAAAGTGTTTTGCTAAACATTGGTGTGTTGTCGTTTGCATCCAGAACATGGACTATAATTTGTACGCTTCCGGTGTTAGGAGGTTTGCCTCCATCTACAGCGGTCAGTGTTAGTTTAACGACGGCTTGTTTCTCTCGATCCAAAGCCTTCTGCTGCACTAGTTCAGCAGATGCAGTGTGTTCTCCGCCTCCTTGTATATCTAGAGAGAAGTATTCATTTGCACTCAGCCTGTAAGTCTTTACCGAATTACTGCCTGTGTCTGCATCAAGAGCCAGCGGTAGCAAGAAATGCTCGCCCGCGGGTGAAGATTCAGAAATGTTCAGTGAAAATGATTTCTCTACGAAGGCCGGCGCGTTGTCATTTAAATCAGCAATCGTGACTTCGATGCGTCGGAGCACCATAGGATTGCTCAGTATAACCTCCAAGTTTAGTGTGCATTTTATCACGTTTGGACAGAGCTCCTCGCGGTCTATTCTCTCATTAACATAAAGATCCCCTGTTTTAAAATTAGCCTCGAAATATCTCTTACTGTATCCAGACACAACATTTAGATTCCTCGTTTGCAGGTCTCGAACATTGACGTTTAAATCCTTTGCGAGGTTTCCAATCACAGTCCCTTTGTCCACCTCTTCAGAAATAGAGTACGATATCTGAGCCGCAGACCAGCCAGATAAAAGCAGGACGATCGGCAAACACAGAATTTCATTATTCCTTATACTTCCCATCGCTGTTTTCAAAGACGGAGACGCAATTCAAATTATTTTCATCTACAAAACACCAAAGAACCATCCAACGTGTAAAATTTCGTCCTCTCTGGTTTTCTGCTTTTTATCGCCATTCCTGTCCTTCGCACAAAGCACTCCCACCCTGCTGACGCTTCATACGTAAAGGAGGAGACTGAAAAAATCCCAGCTTTCTTAAACATGTGGTCAATACCGACCCCATGCGTTACAAATTAGATATGACTATGGTTTAAAAATAGAGGAGCACAACCAGTATGTTTTATTATCAGATGCAGTTTTACTGACCAAAGAGACCCTTTAAACAGGCTGACAACACATAATGAATAACTGTTAAGATATAGAAGAAATGTGAAGAATTACCATTAATTCCTCCAATTTCACTAAATAAAACAGGGCGAGATTATTGTACATAGAATAAAACGAAAGAAAAATCTTAACATCAAGCAAGTTTAACTGTTACACTGCTTAAAAACCCAAGACGGAGCTCTGGTTGATTTATGTCAGTTTTCGTTAACAAAAAAAAAGAAACTAGGGTATTGTCATCCAGGAAACTTTTTTAGTTTTTAGTTAGGAATCTTTAGTTACCATTGTAATTTCTGCCAGTTCATTTTTTCAAGAATAGAATAGAAGTTCATGAATAGAGACTAATTTTACACATACTACAGATAGGACGTTTTAAAAGGAAATTAGACAAGGAATGTGTCCATTTGTTTGTGTGAAAATCTGTAGTATGGACTAAAAGACTAAAATCAACTCACCTTCTCTTTGTTGGGTAATGTCTGAGTTCTTGTAAAAGTGTCTCCTTCGTTAATACTGATCAGTTCTCCATCTACAGGTGGAAACGGGGCGGGGAAAACCACTACGTCACTCTTGAGCGTGTCTGAGCTGAAACACACGTCATACTGCTGAGTAGCTTTAGAGTAAGACCAGCTCCCGTCAGGGTGGGTGGTGATCATGGGGGCGCTGTACCT